TTTCGTTTGCGACCGACACATCACTGCTAGTGATGGTAAATTTGATTTTTTTTTACTGAATCGGGTTTTAATGAGTCACTCACCAAAGTGAATCGGATTTTTGAGTCATTTGATTCACTGAGTCAGTTGACCAGAGAGTGCAAAAAATTTACATTTTCACTCAAACTTAATTTGTTTCTCTTTTCATATAAATCCTACTGCTAAGATGAATGATTCTAAAAAAACAACAACAACTATTTTATAGAGCAAAAAAGAGCAAAAACATTTCTAAGATTAAGCAATTTCCTATTAAAATTGCTTAATAAACATTTATTTTGTTTATTTTTATTTTATTAGTATTTTCCTTAAATGTGTCAAATATATATTTTCTCATCTAAATGTCCACTGAAATGTGAGCCAGGGGGCGGTAATGCGCCTTAACATTGGTTGCCAACCAAGAAGAAGAAGAAGCTGTGAGCCAGGAGGGAGGGGGTGAGTAGCTGAAATGTGCTGTTAGCATGTTAGCAGAGCGATGCTACTGTGAACCGAGGAGCTATTTTCTTGATGTGAGGGTTTTTTCTTCCAGTTCAGAGCAGATTTTTTTTTGTTAAGATACTGGATGTTGTGTTTTTCTCCACAATTTTAATTATAAGCTAGATACATTGCTGCTAACAGCAACAGGGATGAGTCAGTTGGGCTTGTGAATCATGATTCATGAGTCAGTAAAGTCATTCTCGAGTATTGAACGATTCGTTCATGATTCGCGCATCACTAATCACTACTGTCCAGTCTCTGAGGTGACAGCACTGCTGTGGCTCCTGCAGCTTCAGCCTGCAGAGCTGATGGAGTCTGCTCTCTGCTGCACAGCAGTGAACACCAGCAGCACCACCCGTTAGCACACGGTGCTCCCTCTGCTAACAAAGGACTGTGAGGCTTCCTGTACCAACTGACAGAATCCAGCTCTGCAGACAGATGGTAACACATCACCGCAGCATAAATAGCACAGGTCTAATATATGCACGCACGACTCGGTGTGAATGTGACCTTTAACCCTGATGACCGCAGTGTGCGGGTTGGTGTATTTCACAGTCAGTGGCTAACGTTTGGTCCTGCATGCTAACTGATAACCTTCCTGGAAGCTGAACAGCGTTTGTTAATTCACCCTCAGCGTGACTGAAGGCTCCCACTGAACATGCTCTTTGTTCCTAGTGACTAGTGATGTGCGATACCACTGATTTCCTTTCCGATCCGATACCAAGTAATATTCAGGGTGGTATCGACAATACTGATCCGATACCGATACTTTGTACAAAAACGTATTTTATTTATTGCATCTCAAATTCTAGCGTCACAATGATTACAGGACATCAGATTACTTGTTCTTATCACTTAATAATGTAGGGTTCATCATATAGAAATAAAAGAAACTGAAGTTGTGCGCTATTTGAACACCTTGCCTGCCTGCAGCACTAAAGGACTCCGTGAGAGACGTCACCTGTCCCTCTCCTCCTCTTCAGTTCGTCTCAACATACGCTCGTCATATTCTGTGATATGATTTACTCTGAGGTGTTTGATAAGGTTAGTGATGTTGCCACAACCATACATGCCAACCCTCCCGAGACCGGGTCCTCAGGTGGAAGCAGCCTCCGAATTTGGACACCCCCGCTGTTTCCGGGCCGGCCAATAATAACGGTGACATTTAACGTATTTTATCCAATAAATAAACCTGTAAAATGTATTTATCTCCCCCCCTCCAACAGCCTTTTTGAATGTCTCCCTAGTATGGCCACAACACCTCACTCTTGGAGCACTTTTTTGCCACATGTACCGCAAACCATGTCTCAGCTGTTTGTGGAGGTAAAATAAGTCCGCACATGACTCCAGTTACGCTCAGCCATTGCTGTGAGTGGGGCTGCGAGACATTTATACAGCCGTATTTCGCACATGACAGTGAAAGGCGGAAGAGGAAGTGGTTCCTTTGAATGTAGACAATCCGAATGTTATAGTTTCTTTCCACTGTGTTCCTGTTAATGATAAACTACAAATTTACTCTAAATTACTAAAATATCGATATTTTAATGTGAGAATCGATTCTAGAACATAAATGATTGGTATCGGAGGAATCAATATTTCAGGATCGATCCGCACATCACTACTAGTGACCACATGTTCACCCACATGGCGCACACACTCTTCTTTTACATGACCTCAGTCACATGTTTGTGTTTGCCTCTTACTTTGTAAAACACACATGTTGGTGTTGTAGCTGTCTCACTGTCGACTTACTTTGTACTGATTCATTAAAGATTCATCCGAGCTCTGTGGTTTCTAATAATTCTGGAAAGGTTATTGTTTGATCTGTGTTTCTGTCCTGATTATTACGAGGTTCAGTAAGTACTCAACCAGTGTCGGTGTTGGTGCTGTTCTCCTGAGGCGCTGTAACACTGAGTCGTTGGTCCAAGCTGTTAGACCCGAGGATGTGTAATGTTGGTGAAACATGGAGTTTTATTGCGGCGGTCTGTCCAGGGCTGAGTTTGCTCTGTGGGGCCGATAGGTTGGTCAGGAAGTAGCTCTAAGGTCCGGTGTTTCACGTCCTCCTTTAAGACTTTGTGGGATTTTTGTAGTGTTTTCAGTTTCATTTTTGGCAGGAAAACGTAATTTTTATTAATCAACCCAGAGAATTAAACCATGTTGATGTTGGACGAGCTGGGATATTTGAAATAGGCAATTATAACTTATAATTATATTTTAATAA